TCTGCTCCTGTGATGCTGCTTGGCCTGCTGTGTTCATCCAGCTCTGCACCTTGTTATGTCAGATTCTGCAGCATCTGCAGTTCCTACTATCTCTGAAATAGTTTGCTTTGTTTTCTCTGCAGATAGTGAAAACATTAGTCGTGGCTTTGCTTCTAGCTGGAATGGTACCTCTTCTTTTAGGACTCTTGTTTGAACTGGTTATTGTTGCCCCTTTGAGGGTCCCTCTGGATCAGACACCACTCTTTTACCCATGGCAGGTATGTGACATGTCTTGAGTATATTCTTTATAATGTTGCCTACACAAAATAACTTGCGCATTCCACAAAACATTTGGCAGAGGAACTTTAGAAATAATCAAATTGATGTCAGTTTAAGGCTAACATGATTTATATTTTCATTAGACATATAAGATCTTAGAAACAGGATGGAAACTTGTAGAACCCTGTTTATAAGATTTTCTAAGCACTTTTGTTATGCACTAAGGAAAAGCAACCTTATCTGCTCATTTGTATTGAGCCTGATTTAAAACCTTACTGCGTGTAGGACCCTTGAAAATGTCTGCTCTCTTTTCCGTAACGCTGGAGACTTCAAAAGTATTTCATCTGCTAAAAAAATGTACTTTGGGGCATCCTGAAGTTATACATGGTGCTATACAATTGCAAGTTTTGGTTCATTATTGAAAGTCATGGCAAGGACTTTCTTTTATTTTTGCACATTGTTCTGGTGCTAATGACAAGGAAATCTGTTATTGTAATCCCCACATCAAATACTAAAACATCCGTTAAGTGGGTGCTGAATAGAGCTTGGAGCTTTCTGATCCTGGATGTATAGTTCATTTAATTGTTTTTTGATTCTAGTTTGCTGCTGGTTTATAATTTCTTATGTAAATATCATCAAGCCCATCTTGGTCGTATGCTCCAAATGAGAAAAATTAATTCCTTGAACAACTCTTTATGATTAAACCTCTATTAGATAATCAGTAGTTTGCATGGCGAATGAAAAGAAATGTCATATTCAGAGTCATACAGCATGGAAACAGAGCCTTCGGTTCAACTTATCCATGCCGACCGGACATAGCAATTTGACCTAGTCTATTTTCCAGGATTTGGCCCGTATCTCTACAAACCCTTCGTATTTGTATACAGACCCAGATGCCTTTTAAATGTTGTAATTGTAACAGCCTCTACCACTTCCTCTGGAAGCTCATTCCATGCAGAGACAGGCCTCTGCATGGAGAAGTTATCCCTCAATCCTTTTTAAATTGTTTCCCTCTCACCTCAAATCTATGCCCTCTAGTTTTGGACTCCCCAGCCTAGGAAAAAGACCTTGGCTATTCACCCTATCCGTGCCCTTAGTAATTTTATAAACCTCTGTAAGGTCACCCCTCAGCCTCCAATGCTTCAGGGGGAAAAAGCCCCAGCTTATTCAACCTCTCCCTATAACTCAAACCTTCCAGTCCCAGCAACATCCTTGTAACTCTTTTCTGCACCATCTCAAGTTTAACAACATCCTTCCTATAGAAAGGCAACCAGAATTGCATGCAGTATTCTGAAAGTTGCCTAACCAATGTCCTGTACAGCCACAATATGATGTCCCAACTCATATACTCAATCTTCTGTCCAATGAAGGCAAGTGTGCTAAACCTTCACCAACCTGTCTACCTAAGAATTAACTTTCAAGGAACTGTGCACCTGCACCCCTCGGCCTCTTTGTTTGGCAACACTTCCGAGGGCCCTACCGTTCGCTGTTTAAGTCCTGCCCTGGTTTGCCACAATGCAACACTTCACATTTACCTAAATTAAACTCAGTCTGTTATTTCTCAATGTCAGTCAAGTTATTTTGGTTTCTTTCAGTATAGCGTCTGAATTCGTTTCTGGACTCTTATCGTGAGAAGCTACTTTAGACAGAAAGTGCAGAGTCAGAGGAAAAGAACTTGCATTTCTTCTTTGCCTCCTCTGGAGGCTCCAGAAATGTGCAGTTTTCATTGCTGTGCACTTTATAACCGGTGCATTAGTTTTGGAGGCACATGCAGCTTGCATTTTAAGTGTTTCATGCCATACAGTCAAATTCAAGTTCATCTGTTTCTAGCATTGTTTGAGGATGTAATGAAAAGGAACATCTGATAAACTCTGGTTTTTCGAAAGATGTTGTGGTGTTTTACCATTTGACCAAATGGACTAGCGGGAATTTCTATTTTAATGTCTCATTCAAGAGATCAGCACCTTTGACAAGGCACTGTTTTTTCATTGGTGCACTGGGCAGTCTGGACTCCTACCAGTTGAATTGAGCTAAAATGTTTTGGAAACTTTTCAAGGAAACATTAAACTGCCAGGGCTGTTTCTAGAACAAAAAGTTCCATTAGTTGGTCTTCCTTTATGTGCAAGTCTGGCTCTTAGGTGCAATGGCTGATAAGGCTGTGGAGGATTGTGCTGCAACACAACTCCATTTGTAGCACCTGCACATCTGTGATTTTTCTGGTAAAGTCATGAGCTAACAATTAACAACTCTTGGAAAATCTCAGTGGGTCTGGTAGCATCTGTGAAGAGAAATTCTGAGCCAGACCCGCTGAACTTTCCAAGAGTTCTCTACAGGGTAACCAACACTTACATATGTAAAGTTATAAACCATTTGTTACTTGCATACATTGAAAATGGCCCGTCTTCAGTTGATTATGCTCTTGGTTACTCCTTTTCAGAGAACTTCATCCAGTAAGTTTGGGTCATGTTCAGGTTTTGAAGATGTTCTATTCGGGAAAGCGGTTTGTGAGAGGATAAGCATTCTAATTAAATATATAACTATCTGTTGTTCCACTTCTTTGGATTCTGATGTTTTGTTTTTGTAACAGGATTGGGCTCTTGGTGTTCTCCATGCTAAAATAATTGCTGCTATAACACTGATGGGACCTCAGTGGTGGCTGAAAACTGTCATTGAGCAGGTACAATTGGAAAAAACTTAAAATATGTATAGAAATTGTCGAGGACATGATTGCTATGTTGCAATCAATTCTCAATTATTTTCCAAGTCAGCAACTGATTGCAACGTCTCAATTGAAACTAAATTACCAGTATTGATAGAAACTTGTGAAAAGGTAAAGACTTTTCCATTGTTACTGTTGGATACCGAAGGAGCTGATTCTTCATTTTAAATTTTTAAAAAATAGTTGCAGTTTGATTTAATTTGTTTAGGTGGAGGTCATCATTGCAGGGATGCTGAAGTAGTGTTTCTTTAAAGTAGAATTTATATATTCAAGCTCAGATTATTTTGAGTTATCACTGTGACCTACTCTGATTTCACTACAACATGTGCAAGCTTTTTCTGGAAATTCCTGGAAAGATAGACTACACCCCCAGATTTTTGCCAGTTGTCACTTTATACACGGGTCGGCATCAGTGATTAGAATGCCTCTTAACTTGTGTTCTGTTGTTCTTGACCCCTCTTTGCTAAGGTTAGGAAATCAAATGTTGCCAGCTAATTACCTTGAAGTCGCAGCATACCTGTCCTGCACGAAGAGGTTTTCATACTTGTTTACAATAAATTATGTTCCTAAGTAGTCAAAGTAATACAGTGCTGCTTGTGTGTGAACGTATAAATTCAGCATAAACTTTTCCTTTTTTTAGGTCTATGCAAATGGAATTCGAAATATTGATTTGCATTTTATAATTTGCAAACTTGCAGCACCGGTTATTGCAGTGCTGCTGCTATCACTCTGTCTGCCATACGTCATAGCTGCTGGAATTGTACCCCTACTGGGTAAGTACTGAACCATCTGCCTGAGAATGCTTTTTTCCAAACAATTTATGAGAATGATTGCTTGCTTAACATTGTGTTTATTGATACACTGTTCTGCTTGAGAACTTGCTGTCTGAGGTTTTCTTTATTTAGATAATAAAGTTCAAAAATGGAGTGTGAATTGTTAATGTGTAATGTACTCCCTCCAAGGGGTGACAGTTTTCTTAGGAATTATCATAGTGAAGTCACCGCTATCTTGGATATTTTTGTTGGATAAATATAATAGACATTGTAATAGTTGAAACCATCTCCAGATAAGACAGTATAAGTAAATCCTTTTTATCTAAACATTTATAGTCTTCATGTATATTTCATCAAGTCGCCTGGTTGGTTACCCAAAGTTCTGAAAGCGTAATGGTTCACATGTTTGCATGGGACAGACAAATTACTTAGCTTTATCACTATGATAGACAGTTTCTGCTTTGAAATATTGAAACAAACTGAATTAACGGACATGATTAAAATGTTTGAGTAAAGAATCTGAAACAGACAAAAGTAGAAATTGCTGGAGAAATGCGGCAGGCCTGATAGCATTGATGGATAGAATACAGAACTAATGTTTTGAGTCCAGTGCCCCCCCTGCCCCACTCCAGAACGATTTCAGATCAATGTTCTTTCTCTCTACAGATATTGCCAAACCTGAGTTTCTCAAGCTGTTTCGGCTTTTGTGTATTTCAAATCTCCAGCATCCGTAGTTCCTTTTTTAAATTTGAGTACAGAATCTGTTGTTTCACACTTTGCCAGTGATTTTGAATCATAACCCAGAAATGAATTGCTTTGTTTTCCCAATTTTTGTGTACACAATATATTCAGTATAAATTTTATGTTGCTCTTTGTTCCCACTGCAATATATAGGTGTAACTACTGAGATGCAGAACCTAGTCCAGCGTCGAATTTATCCTTTGCTCCTCATGGTTGTGATACTAATGGGAGTCCTGTCCTTCCAAATCCGCCAGTTCAAGCGTCTCTATGAACACATTAAAAATGACAAGTAGGTATTTTACTGAACAGCTCACCGTTGACGAGAGAATAAAAATAGTAAAACATTTCTATTATTTTCTCAACATGAATCTCAGTTCAATCAAAGATCCAGATGTGGTTTAATGGATACCTAGGATTGAATTCAAAGGTGTGTTAACTCACTAATGGAATTTTAATATTAACCTACATAGAAATTTCATCTGTTCTTATGATTAGATTATGGCCTTTCACACTCTCATTCATGGTTTATTAAAATCTGTGAAAATTTAAATGAGCTTTTCATAGGTTTTTGATTTGGCAGTGTATGTTGTAACTTTGAGTAACCGGGTCATTTGAGACCTCAGTTGTGCCATCCCATTTTCATGCCATCAGGGGAAGGATTTTTGTTCAAGATTGGGAGCCATGGCCAATGGAGCATTTTTGGTAGTGATGACTAAGGTGTTAAAACCTCAAAGTACAACAACTTCCTACAGGCAGTATACAATTCAAAAAAGTGACTTGTGGTTCCTTAAACGTGAAGGAACAACCAAGAAACTGCACCATGTATTCCTTTTCCCAGTCATGTTTGTGAGCATGGAAATCATCTAAAGCACATGAAGAGGAGAGTGCAGCCTATTGAGCTGTGGAGAAATGAGCAGTGAAACTGCTGTTGGTATGGATCACCATCACTTTTACAGTGCATCTGTGTGCTGCTCAATAATGGGAACAAAAGGGTATTGCTTTCTTGTCTTCACTGGTTTGTTGAAAACTGATATCCATTTGTCTCTTGGCTGAATTTGCTGCACCACTTACCCATATATAACAGTGGGTGTCAATTAACCCGCTAATACTTAGTGGAAGCAATTTCTGCCCCAGTCTCTGTGCATCGACAGCTTCTAACCAACATAAGGAGGGAACCACAAGAGCTGAAAAGTAAAGCAGCTGAGCTGCAGGCACCACTGCATGGCACAGAAACGTTAGTAGGCAAAACGTTGGAAGCATGAAGAGGAAAGGCATTTTCAAACGAATTTGTCGGGAAGCTTTGCGGGGAAATTGCCTGCAGAGACTGAAACACTTCACAGGCAGCTATACAACAAAACATGCTAGTGGATGCGTTCTGTTGTAAAATTGTCATGATACAATACAGATGTTTCACCTTGAGCGTCCCAACAAAAGTTAGCAGAAATTGCTACTGTTTAGACCCCATTGTCTGGAAAAGGCCTTAAAGCTGCTTAAACAGATGCACTGCATGTTGAGTGTTTTTGTAGCAACCTCAGTGTGTAATAGAATTATTTATTATGTTCCAACTTTGGGTCATTCTGATTGGGGATAGATGTTTTAAATCCATTTGGAAAGTAACATGGATACAAATTAACCACTGCCTCAGGCAGTCTCTTGGGTTTGAAGAAGCAAATGGGACTAGTTTTGTTTTGGGAACCTGGTCAGCATGGATGAGTTGGGCCGAAAGGCCTGTTTCCGTGCTGTATGACTCTGACTTTATGACTTATTTCCATTAAGGATGGCTGGGTTTTGAGGTGCCTGATAAATGTAAAGTGTGTAATTCTTTGAAATTTGCATCACATACAGACAGGGTGGTTAAGAAGGTATTTGACACGCTTATCTGCATTGCTCAGTCCTGTGAGGACAGGAGTTGGGATGTCATGTTGAGGTTGTACAGGATCTTGAGGCCTCTTCTGGAGTACTGTGTGCAATTCTGGTCGCCCTGTTATAGGAAGGATATTGTTAAACCTGAGGGGGTTCAGAAAAGATTTACCAGGATATTGCCAGGAATGGAGGGTTTGAGTTATAAAAGTAGACGGGATAGGCTGGGACTTCTTTCACTGGTGCGTAGGAGGTACATGGGTGACCTTATTGAGGTTTATAAAATCATGAGGGGCACAGATAAGGTGAATAACAAGGGTCTTCTCCCTAGGGTGGGGGAGCTCAAAACTAAGGGGCATATTCCAAGAGGAGAAAGATTTAAAAATGACATGAGGGACTTTTTTTTTTTTTTTTTTTACACAGAGTGGTTCGTGTGTGGAATGAACTGCCAGAGGAAGTGGTGGATGTAGGTAGTTAGTGTTTAAAAGTTGATGAATAGGAATGGTTTGGAGAGATGTGGGCCAAGTGCAGGCAGATGGGACTAGATTAGTTTGGGAACATGGTTGGCATGGACTCGTTGGACTGAAGGGTCTGTTTCCATACATCATGACTGTGTAACTATAACTATAACTATGACTGTGATGCCTCCCAGGATTCAAAAGGATTCATTAAATGAAAGATGAGTCGATTTCTGCAATGATTCCATCCTAGATGGCAACCAGAATGAGTGTCAATATCTCGTGCACGTCAGGACGTTGTATCTTCATTAACTGTTATCCTCTGTTGTTGAGAAGCACAAAGTTGTTTTTTTTGTAAAATGGCCATTTTTAAGTCTGCAAGTCTAGAAGTTGTAAAAAGAGAAGGGGTGGGCTGGATTTCTCTAATGCACACTATATGTAAACCAGCTTGTCATTTATGTCACACATGGCTAACTCAATTAACTATGTGGCTAAATATTTTTATCAGTATCTTCAGAAATGTACCTTAAGTGTTACATTATTAGTTAAAAACATTACTTGCTTTATGGTAATGTTTGTGTCCTTTTTTCTTTATTCTAAAACCTAGATATCTCGTTGGCCAACGGCTTGTTAACTATGAGCGAAGGACGGGTAAACAAACCATGACGGCACCATCACCTTCTGAAGAGTAGTGGGTGTTGACCAACCCTGCCATCCCTCCTATGTGCCCTTCCTTTTCCTTCTATTTTTCTTCTCCCATCTTCCCATGCAATTTTTGCTAAGGTCCAGCAAAAAAAAAGGCCCCACCTGGTCCTGTTTTCTTCCCCAGTGCTGATGATGATAACTGTATATGTGTAAATAGAATGAACATTCTGAGCCCCTTAAAGATAAATGAATGTGCATTGTAAATCTTAAAATATGTATATTAATTTATTAAATGTAGTCATCACTTTATTTGAACTGTTGTCCTACGTTTTGGGAGTGACAGTGGCACAGAAGCAATACAGTGAAGATGTGTTTGAAGACTTCATGAGCTCACTTTTTTAAAAGAAATGTTCATATTGACTGGTGTTTTAATACTCTGAAATAAAATAACTCTTAAACAGGGAAAAGCAAAACAAACCTGCGCAGGAATCGCAACAATTAAAGTTCTCTGTATGATTCGTCATCTTCATGCAATAGTCAAACTTAAATAACATGACAATTTCAAAATTTATTTGGAAGAAAATCCTTTGAGATCTGCAGCATTGCAGTCTATAGTGGAGTGTTATACCAGTAATACCTCAAAAGATGCTTTTTGTAGGTTGATTATATTTGGCAACAATGTATTGTTCATCTTAAAATCTCCTTGCGATCTGTTGCAGATGTAATTCTAAAACACCTCTGTTTTAGGATCTCTTTCGCCATACCTTCATTTAACTTGTTCACTTGCTGTCTTTTCAGCAGTGTAAAGTACACTTATGGTTGAGATTCAGGCTGTCTATCTGAGGCAGAGACTTACAACCTAGTAATTTGTGGTGTCAACACTTAGATTAAAGTTTTTCAGAAATCTGATTTTTAGCAATGATCATCTTCATTCCATAAATGTCAAGCACTGTGAATCAGAGTGTTCATTGAGTTTATGTTCTGCAGAATATAATGCTGAGCAGCTGGTGATACTGCCTTTACTGGTTGTAGACTATGGTATATTTTACATAAGACCAAATGTGTGTGTGTGAGAGAGAGAGAGCACATTTCAGTTTGAACTTTATTGCAAATACATATGCTTAAAAACAATTTGTCATTTTAAAGCTATATATCACTAGGTGATGAAATCTGATGTTGGCTAGATCTGGGCACTAGTTAATGCAGTTTTCTCAAATTTGATTATATTCAACTTATTTTGATATTATATACTTTAAAAGAATCTGCAGAAGTAGCATGTTTACACAAGCTATTGTTTGATCTATAAACTTTATTTTCATTACAGCTACTAGTGAAAGGATGATGTATTATCAAACGATGAAAAATTGTTTCTTAAATATTGTACAGTGCAGCTGCTTTAAACTTGTGACTGCACTTGTGTGCAACCATGTTATGCAGCTTTACTGCAGTAAGTATCCAGTACTAACAAAATCTTGCAACACTGACAAGTTAAAAATTTCAAAAATGACAAAGTCCACGGCAAAGGCTAACAGTCCAAATTTACTTCCTCTCAGACAAACTTTTGTTTTCTGTGGATCAACCCCAGCACCTTCAGATGTATGCACTATTTGGTTTAATTATCAGCCAGAAAGAGACGAGCCTTTTGAAAAGGGATTATTCCTTTTCTTAGTTCAGATCTTCCTTGACCATTACAGCAGACTTGAATTTCAGAACCAGCTGCTTAGTCTAGCCTTTGTTGGAGGCTCAGGATAAGTGTCATCTAACATTGAGATTCAGATTTAAAATTCCCAGTCAGCAAGCGAGTGCTCTATCAATCTGACTACTGACTTTTCAACAAATGTCATTATTGTGAACTTAGTTATTTTCTTAAGGGCAATATCAGTGTCAGTTTCCTGATTTCAAAATAACTTGTCTTGAAGGTGTAAACAATTGGAAAGTGAGTTCATGCAGTAAAGAGTAAGTTCACCCTTTTGCCGTTTGCATGGAATTGCTTTATCCTGTTTGATCATGGGCTTTCTTCTCAATTCAGAACTGCATGAGTATAAATCTAATTGAAATAATTGTCAGTGCAAGTTTTGGTCTTCAGTGCTTTTCCTTGTGATAGCAGTTGGGAGGGTTTAGTGAGGCGAGGAGCTGTTACTATAGTGTTTTTAAGCAGGGGTTGGGGGGTGAACTGTTTTAGCTTCCATAATTTTGCCATGGTTCCAATAAGCATGTGTCCGCAATATAATGTTTGCGGATGTTGCTGATCTCTGAAGATTTGTCCAGTTGCTATTTTGTCTCTGGATTGGAATGATTTTTCCATCTGATCAAAGAAAGCAGACCTCAGCACTGGTGAACAAATGAAGATGACTTCTGGGATGTACTGAATTGTCAACTGTAAATGTAATTTTTATTTTAACATTGAATACAGATATTAAAATTTTGTATTTACAAAGGTGACATTTAGGATGGTATCATAAAATCTTTAATATATGATGTGTCACAGATGCTTTCTCTGTTTGCACCCCACTTTGCAGTATATAACAAGACGTCTGCCTTAAGACCATTTAATAGACCGTTACTCTGCATAATTTTTTCTCTTCTCACTCACATTCTTTCTTCTGCAGTTAATTCAAACGGCAACTCTGACTTTCTCCCTGTTCACCAGGAATATACTTGTTCATAGATCATAGAATCCTTACAGCGTGGAAGCAGGCCATTTGGCCCATCGAGTCCACACTGACTCTCCAAAGAGCATCCCACCCTGACCCACCCCTTATCCTGTCCCTGCATTTCCCACCCTAGACACTATGGGCAATTTAACATAGCCAATCCATCTCACCTGCACATATTTGGACTGTGGGCGGAAACCAGAGTACCCAGAGGAAACCCACTCAGACACGTGGAGAATGTGCAAACTCCACACGGACAGTCCCCCGAGGCTGGAATTGAACCCGGTCCCTGGCGCTGAGAGGCAGCAGTGCTAACCACTGAGCCACCCTAAAACTAGCAGAGACGAGCTTGCATTCCCTGACTAGGAATTGAACCGGGGCTGTGGCAGTGAGAGTGCCGAATCCTAACCACTAGACTATCAGATTGAAATTAATAATTGAGCATAAACTAGCCAAAAGTGATTTTAATAAACTTTCTGATCAATAAGTTGGTCCATTGGAAGACATACATGACAAGTTAGAAGTCATGTAGATTATCAATAAGTATGGTGTTTGTAATCGAAGTTTATTTCATTTTGAATGTGCTAACTGTGGTATCAAATTCTAGGTTAGCAATAGGATCACTAAGAGATTGTAGTTGAGTTGGTATTAGTGCAGGGCCAGTGGGCTGAATGACCACCTGAGCTGCAATGTCTTAATTTTTGACCTGAAACACGAGGGAACAGTTGATAGAAACATGCAGCAGATGCTCTAGTCCAGACCAAGCATTGCTCAGTGGGGGTTTGAATAGCTGCCTCTGCCAGTTTAAATACACGTTCACATTTACATTAATTTAATGGAAAAGCTTGAAGAAAACATGATTTCTGTTTTGCAAAGTCATCTCATAATGAGGAAATTGTGTCTTTAGAAATACAAGGCAGAACATTTCTTTCATTGTTCCAATTTTTGTACCTATACTCTAGATACTGACTAACCAATTTCAGGATCTTGTTTTTGCCAATTAATCTCATTGTGAGCCCTCTCTTTAGCACTTTTAGCAGATATCCTCATTTTCTTTCATGAAAGGAGATGTATGTTTTCATCTTTGCACATAAATTCCTGGTGTCATTTTATTGAGTTCCTGTTAGAGACCCAAATTGGACACGTTATCCTGACTGACCTAATTAGTAGTATTTATATAGGCTAAACATCACTTCTGATTTTGCCCTCCAATTTGCAAAATTTGGATATGGTATTCTGTTCAACGGCTGTCAATGTTTTCACCTTTACAAATGTGTGCATTTTGAACCCCAAATGTTTCCTGTACTTTTTAATGTTTTAACAATGTATATTTTTTAATTCTCCCATAATTTTGCCTACCATTTCTCAACATTTTAAGTTTCATCTAGTGTCTTACTCCTGAAATTGTATCAGGTACACTTTTCTACTGTTGTCACTTCTTCTTTGGGGAATACACAGGAAAGTGATCTTAAAGTATAAGATCAGACATGATCATATTGCATGGTGGAGCAGGCTCGAAGAGCCCTAGAATCTACTTCTGCATCTGTTTAATACACTCTTATTAAACTGTAGGAAGATTATCAAGCCTTCTACGCATTGTCATAGTGACACTGCTTGCTTTAGTATTGGCTTGTTATGTGGTACCTAATCAAATGCCTTTTGAAATACAAGTATAGAACATGCATTGTTGAAAGACTATAGCCAGGGTAATATAAGTGACACTTTTGTAATGCCCTCCCCTGTCTCTTCTCTTCCCCACTCCACCCAAAAGACGTGTGAAATAATTTTGGAATGATGTGAGCATCATTGAAAGGGTGCAGAGGGGATTTATCAGAATGTTTCTAAGGATGAGGGATTTTGGCTGCAAGGGTAGTTTGGAGAAGATGGCCTTGTTCTCCTTGGAGTAACAGGTTCTGGTGAGATTTGTTGGAACCATAAAAGATCATGACAGGTTTTGATAAATTGTGCAAAGAAAACCTGTTTTGTTGGCTTGTCATGCAAGTGCTAGGTCCATAGATTTAAGGTTTTGAGTAAGATGCGTGGCAAGTAAGGAAGGAAGGCAGCACCTACAATGTTAATCAAACTGGAGACAATTAACGATTTCAAAAGAAAACTGGATGAGCACTTGCAGGGAATAGAATCTACACGTAGCATGCCACAATGATGCTGATTCTTAGTAAAGAGCTAGTTAAGTATATACTGCTTCCTGCTTAGTAAGATCACTTTGGTTTATTGATCTTGCTCAGTTTAAAATTAAAGGATTTTTCGGCATTCAGTCATTTATATTTCTGAGCACATTTCCTAACTGTAGCAACTTCCCACAAGCTGGCAGTGTCTTCAAGAGGCAACTGGGGAATGAACAATATAAATGTCAGCCTTCGCAGTGACACCCATGAGATCTAAGATTTTTCTTTTAAAAATAAGATCAAAATCCTGCATTCAGTCCATGTGCCAAGTTAACAGGTCATGAATAGTTGCCAGGGGATGGGAAAAATCTACTGACATTGCTTTAGCCACTGGGCCATGATTTTTTTTAAAAAGTGATACTTCAAGATGTAATGGAATAAAACTTACCTGATGCCACAGAAATGAGTTGCTGGTGATCTCTAAATCAGACAATTTGATTTTGCTTGAGGAAAGTCTATCGCTACAGAC